ACCTCATGGACCAGCCCACGCCAGAGCTCCCTGTCGGCCGTCACCACCCCCAGCTCCTTCAAGGTCAGTCCAGTCACTTCAAGGATGCCATCCATCCATCTTGCCCTTGGTCGGCCCCTCTTCCTTTTACCTTCCACTTTCCCCAGCATAATTGTCTTCTCTAGGCTTTGCTGTCTCCTCATGATGTGGCCAATGTACTTCAACTTTGTCTCTAGTATCCTTCCCTCCAATGAGCAGTCGGGCTTTATTTCCTGGAGGATGGACTGGTTGGATCTTCTCGCAGTCCAAGGCACTCTCAGAACTTTCCTCCAACACCACAGCTCAAAAGCATCTATCTTCCTTCGCTCAGCCTTCCCTAAGGTCCTTCCATTATTTTACTTTATTATTATTATTATTATTATTATTATTATTATTATTATTATGTATATGAATGTACTTACGTATCCTTCCAACAATAATAAAGGGAGTAAAATAATAAATGTAATAATAATAATAATAATAATAATAATAATTCCATTATTTTACATTATTATTATTATTATTATTATTATTACATTTATTATTTTACTCTCTTTATTATTGTTGGAAGGATACGTAAGTACATTCACCTTGAAGAAGGTTAGAATAATGATTTGATCAGAGTTGGACAGTCTTATCTCAAATTACAGTTTTATGTAAATATTCAAAAACATTTCACCTCCTAATGCCTCAATTAATGTAATTTTATTGGTATATCCATTTATAATTTGAAATTTACCAGTAGTGGCTGCATTTCCCACCCTCGGCTTATACTTGAGTCAATATGTTTTCCCAGTTTTTTGTCATAAAATTAGGTGCCTCGGCTTATACTCGAGTATATATGGTAATTTATTCCCTACGGACAGTAGCCAATCTTCTGATTCCCAATAGCAGGACATTAATGTAGCAATGCTTAAAAAATTGCAAAAAAACCAACTGATCATTCTGGCTTCTCATAAACCCGGACTAATGGCAGGGATGAGACACATCTGGTCAGAAACAATTTGTGCAAGATCTAGCTGCATTAAGCTCAGTGTCATTCTGCCATTGACTTTGAGGGGATATGGATCATGCCTAAAACTATTTACAGATTATTGTATACAGAATACAGATTGCTTATGACAAATTGCTTTTTCTGAAAGCACTCCAAAACTTCCTTTTCACCCAACAGCCACTTTGCTGTTTGCTGTGGCCAGACGAGCAAACAAACAAAAACAAAAACAGACACCAATCCAAAACACAGCTACCCAGAGTGGAAAATCAAGGCTAACGGAAATGCCAAAATGCTTACATTTCAGACTGTGCAGAAAACATTACCACATTTAAGAAATAACACACCAACAGACACATAAAAGAGCTGGTTTATTGCCCTTCCACTGTCACTTGGAAGGCTGGAAGCGTGTTTATGCTTCTCTGCAGAATTGTACTTCATGCACTTTTCACATGTCAGCATGTTATTTGGTTTTGGTATAGTGGCTCAAGAAAGCAGATGTGCTTACATTGCTTGATGTTCTTTTGCCTGTCACCAGTTAGCAAGTCCTTCTTCCACCTTTATTAATGAACTAGGAATACATGCCTTCTCTCTGATTAACAACAAGCAATCCCAAGGCAATCAAAGGGGGGAAAAACCAGGAAAATGGAAAGGCTTAGCAATCTGATAGGTCCATTACATGTCAGACAGATATTTCGGGTTTTTTTAAAGGTAACATCCAGATTGAAAGACATGAATTGGGCTGGTGGAAGTGTACCGCCTTGATTGATGATCCACAATTAGCCCATCCAGCCGCATGAAAGTACAAATGAATGTGGGGAACAGTGCAAAAGTGAGAGTATTCCCAAATATGGGACAGAAACCCCTCCTGAGAAGAAATCCCTTCTGTCCATGCTTGTTGCATGCTGCCCATGCCTGAATAATTTTAAAACAAGTACTGAAAGTCTGTACACATGAATGAGCCTTTCTTCCCCTCATATTATGGAATCATGATGCCACCAAGTTGCCCAGCTGACAAACGGATTCACGTACAAAGAAAGTCGAAAAAGATCAAAAGCAACCCAAAGAAGAAAAATACACTATTAAGCCAGAATAAGCAACAATCTAGGATGAGAAACACAACTTGCTAGTTCTTGCGATAGAATGTGGCTTTTAAAGAAAACACCTTTCTGTTCTTTTAACCATCACCTCTTATCACTATCTAGGAGGAAGTTCACATTCAAAATATCAACAGGACAAATCCATTAATACTACTCCTGGGCAATACCACTCAACATCCATGGCCCCTTCTACAGTGCCCTTTATCCCAGGATTTGATCCCAGATTATCTACTTTAAACTGGAATATGAGTCCCCACTTCCAGATAACCTGGGATAAACAGATAATCTGGGATCAGATCCTGGGATATAGGGGAAATGTAGAAGGGCTTCTTGTTTTCAGAAAGAGGGACATTACTCAAACCGGGCTGCAGCCAAAATGATTTGATTGATACACAAACCTGTATCCTTCTTAGTTGCCCTAGATATAGGCCACTTGGGAACATTCCACACAGCCCTATATCCCAGAATAGCAAGGCAGAAAATCCCAAATTATCAGAGTATGGACTCAGATAACCCAGTTCAAAGCCTGCATAAATAGGAGTATAGTGTCTAGATTCAGGGAAGTCATGCTACCCCTCTATTCTGCCTTGGTTAGACCACACCTGGAATACTGTGTCCAATTCTGGGCACGACAATTGAAAGAGATATTGACAAGCTGGAATGTGTCCAGAGGAGGGCGACTAAAACGATCAAGGGTCTGGAGAACAAACCCTATGAGGAGAGGCTTAAAGAGCTGGGCATGTTTAGCCTAAAGAAGAGAAGGCTGAGAAGAGACATGATAGCCATGAATATTTATGTGTGGGGAAGTCATAGGGAGGAGGGAGCAAGCTTGTTTTCTGCTTCCCTGAAGACTAGGACACGGAACAATGGCTTCAAACTACAAGAAAGGAGATTCCATCTGAACATGAGGAAGAACTTCCTGACTGTGAGAGCCGTTCAGCAGTGGAACTCTCTGCCCCAGAGTGTGGTGGAGGCTCCTTCTCTGAAGCTTTTAAACAGAGGCTGTATGGCCATCTGTCCAGTGTGCTTTGAATGCAATTTTCCTGCTTCTTGGCAGGGTGGTTGGACTGGATGTCCCATGAGGTCTCTTCCAACTCTTTGATTCTATGATTCTATGATCAAGGAAATCTTATCCCCTGGAAATTAAAGACCTTTATATAAAACATGCAGTGAGTGAGTAGAATTGCACTCATCCATTCTAAAATCTGGAACCACCTTGTCTCCATTCATTATCCTACCAGGTACTTTTGGAGACACACACTTATGAACTCATAGTCATAGCCAACTTCTCTGAACCAAGGCATGAATGTGCTTTGAATGCAATTTTCCTGCTTCTTGGCATGGGGTTGGACTGGATGGCCCATGAGATCTCTTCCAACTCTATGATTCTAAAGCAGATATTGTGAGGTTTTCTGCCTTGATATTCTGGAATACAGAGCTGTGTGGAAGGGGCCTTTGGATGCCTTTCTGCTGGGTTACAATAGGTCCAGCCCCAGCATTCCATGGCAGGCCTAAAACCCTGAACACACATAGGAAGTAGAAGCAAAAGTTCCCCTATACTCATCATGGAAAGCTATATCCCCGATAGTCAGAGTGAGTGGAAGGCCCTCTAGAGCAGGGGTCCTCAAACTAAGGCCTGAGGGCCAGATATGGCCCTCGAAGGCCATTTACCCAGCCCTTGCTCACGGTCAACCTAAGTCTAAAATGGCTTGAAAGCACACAACAACAACAACAACAACAACAACAACCCTATCAAATCAGCCAATAGCAGGCCCACATTTCCAATTGAAATACTAATAAGTTTATATTTGTTAAAATTGTTCTTTTTAATTATTGTATTATTTTATACAATATTATAATTGTATTATAATTGTTCTTTTTAATTATTGTATTATTTTATACAATATTATAATTGTATTATAATTGCTCTTTTAAATTATTGTATTATTTTATACAATATTATAATTGTATTATAATTGTTCTTTTTAATGATTGTATTATTTTAAGTGGGTTTTTTTTTTTTGCACTACAAATAAGATATGTGTATGGGTTGTTGTAGGTTTTTCCGGGCTATATGGCCATGTTCTGGAGGCAATTTTTCTCCTGACGTTTTGCCTGCATCTATGGCAAGCATCCTGCATCTATGCAGGCGAAACGTCAGGAGAAAAACTGCCTCCAGAACATGGCCATATAGCACGGAAAAACCTACAACAACCCATGGATTCCGGCCATGAAAGCCTTCGACAATACAAGATATGTGTAGTTTGCATAGGAATTCATTCATTTTCTTTTCAAATTATAATCTGGCCCTCTAACAGTTTGAGGGATTGTGACCTGGCCTTCTGTTTAAATAGTTTGAGGACCCCTGCTCTAGAGTTACTAAGGCCCAGCTCTCAAAAGGAGAAGGGAAGGACTGCCTCCGAGAAGTGGGGCCAGCAGAGAGAAATGCGCTGAGTCAAAGCCCAAGGCTGGCAGTAAGGAGACCAGTCAATCTTCAGGGCAGTGTTAGGAGAGGGACCCGCCCTGCCAAGCCCAACAGTCTCCTGAAGCCACGCCACAAAAAGAAACAGGAGAGCCTAGCAGTCAAAGCTGCTTTTTTTGGCTCTGATGCAGCCCAGGACGCCTCTGGTCCACCAGCATCCAACCCAACCGGCTGCTGCTGTCACCTCTTAACTGAAAACAAGCTCCAAAGGCTGCCGTCCAGCTCAAGCAGAGGCCAAACTTTCTCCTCCTTTCTCCCCCAAAGCGCAGCCAACCCAACCGTCCTCCGGGAGCCACTCTCTGCACATCCAAACTTCCCTCTCTGCCGCAGCCCCTCGACGCAGAAGCCGGGCCCCCCTCCGCCCCCGAACCCAGACCTCTCCTCCTGCGTGGAGGGATGCAGGACTTACGGGAAGCCGGCGGGGCTGTGCGGGCTCTGCAGCTGAGCTGGCCGAGAATCCAGAGGAAGAGCGCTGCCCGGCTGCCGGCGCGCAGGGAGAGCGCAGCCATCCTGGGCTGCCAGGCGCCGCCGCGGGGGTCCCAGGAGCCAGGGAAGCAACCAAGCAAAGGCTGGAAGTGCCTTCTCTCCCTTGCGGGTTGGCCGGCGCCGCCTCCTCACTCGGGTATGCTGAGAGAGGGGGGCAACTTCACTCCCCCTCCTCCTGGAGAAGCCAAGTCCCGGGCACTTCGGCGCCCCCTTCTTCACAACGCGCCTCCCCCTTGGAGTGCGGGAGGCGCCGGGGGAGGAGGAAGGCTCCTCGGTGGTCCCGGTGCGGCGCAGCCCTTCCTCCCAATCCTGGCCTTGCTCCTCTCAGCCAAGGCGTCCGATGGGCCGCAAAGGAGCAGCTTGTCTCAGAGGCTCTCACCGCCTCCAGTCGTCATTCGCTGCCAAGAGGAGGAATCGACTGGCAGCAGAAGCAGCAGACCCAGCGAAGGCAAGGAGGAGGAAGGAGGGAGAGCTGCGGGAAAATCCTCCTCCCCTCCCTCCCCTCCCGAGCTCCTCCGCCAGCAGCGGCAGCTCCTCCCCGTCGCCGCCTCCGTCAGTGCGGCCCTCCCTGGCCGGCGGAGCCTCTTCTCCGATGCGGCGCCTGCTTGCAGTGTGCTGCTGTCCGAGGTGCTGAAACAGCAGAGAGCTTGGACCGCTTCACTGTCCGAGGTGCTGAAACCCGGGAGCAGCCGTAGAGCCGTGATGGACCGCGCTCGCTGGCCGAGGCGCTGAAACAACAGAGAGCTTGGTCCTCGCGTCACTGTCCAAGGTGCTGAAACCTCAGTCTCTGCAACGCTGCAACCCGCTCGCTGGGCGAGGTGCTGAAACACCAGAGAGCTTTCCCCCCCGCGTCACTGTCCAAGGTGCTGAAACCACAGTGCGCCCATAGCGCGCAGTTGGACCGCACTCGCTGGCCGAGGTGCTAAAACACCAGAGAGCTCGCGCCCCCTGCGCTTCACTGTCCAAGGTGCTGAAACACCAGAGTCGTCGTAGCGCCGGGTTGGACCACGCTCGCTGGCCGAGGTACTGAAATCCTACAGACGCTGCGGTGCCGGCTACCTCAGCGTCGCTGTCCGAAGTGCTGAAACCCGGACAGCTTCTCTCCGCCTTCCCTGCCGGGCGTTGGCCTTCGCCTGGGAAAGGCTCTAGGACTGCTGTCCACCCGGCAACTCAAAGCCTTGGCCAAGGAAGGCAGTCAGGCGCTTAGCAAGGGAAAAACAGCCCTCCCCAGCCCCATTTTCTGTGCCCATGCTGAGGCACAGAAAGTGATGGACACAGTATTAATTAATGTATTATTTATTTATTTATTTATGACATTTATATGCCACCCTTCTCACCCCGAAGGGGACTCAGAGCGGCTTACAAGGTATATATACATACAATATATTATTAACATAGTACAATATCAGTTTTAATTATTGCTATGTTGCACTATATCAATTATACTGTAATATTATTAGTAATATTACATGTAATATAAATATATAATTATAATATCATATTATTAGTAGTAGTATTATATTGCATTACATTACAATATTATAAATATTATATGTATATACAATATATTATATATTATATTATAACATATTATTAGAATAGCACAGGAGATAAGGTGGAACTGTCCCCTGGCCCCCCTCTCTTCACTCCGACCCAGAGCGGCAGTTGGTGCTGGGGGAGGGGTCCCCAACGGATGGCAAATGCAGGAGACAAGATGGTGCTGTCCTCTGGCCTCCCCTCTCTTCGTTCTGGCCCAGAGTGACAGTTGGTGCTGGGGGAGAGGGGTCCCCAACGGATGGTAAATGCAGGAGACAAGATGGTGCTGTCCCCTGGCCTCCCATCTCTTCGCTCTGGCCCAGAGTGAATTAATGACTTAGATGAAGGGCTAGAAGGCATGATCATCAAGTTTGCAGATGACACCAAATTGGGAGGGATAGCCAATACTCCAGAGGACAGGAGCAAGATTCAAAATGATCTTGACAGATTAGAGAGAAGGGCCAAAACTAACAAAATGAAGTTCAACAGTGACAAATGCAAGATACTCCACTTAGGCAGGAAAAACGAAATGCAAAGATACAGAATGGGGGACAATGCCTGGCTCGAGAGCAGTACGTGTGAAAAAGATCTTGGAGTCCTCATGGACAACAAGTTAAACATGAGCCAACAATGTGATGTGGCAGCAAAAAAACGCAAATAGAATTTTGGCCTGCATCAATAGGAGCATAGTGTCTAGATATAGGGAAGTAATGCTACCCCTTTATTCCGCTTTGGTTAGACCATACCTGGAATATTGTGTCCAATTCTGGGCACCAAAATTCAAGAGAGATACTGACAAGCTGGAATGTGTCCAGAGGAGGGTGACTAAAATGTTCAAGGGTCCGGAGAACAAGCCCTATGAGGAGCAGCTTAAGGAGCTGGGCATGTTTAGCCTGAAGAAGAGAAGGCTGAGAGGAGATATGATAGCCATGTATAAATAGGTGAGAGGAAGCCACAGGGAGGAGGGAGCAAGCTTGTTTTCTGCTGCCCTGGAGATGCGAAACAATGGCTTCAAACTACAAGAAAGGAGATTCCATCTGAACATGAGGAAGAACTTCCTGACTGTGAAAGCCATTCAGCAGTGGAACTCTCTGCCCCGGAGTGTGGTGGAAGCTCCTTCTTTGGAAGCTTTTAAACAGAGGCTGGATGGCCATCTGTCAGGGGTGATTTGAATGCAATATTCCTGCTTCTTGGCAGGGGGTTGGACTGGATGGCCCATGAGGTCTCTTCCAACTCTTTGATTCTATGATTCTAGGAGGGGACAAGGAAGGGTGAAAGGGAAAGGAAGAAGACGAAACCATAATCAGGGGCAGCTCAACCCATTACACAAAGTAAGCATTTGCATGTAGTTGATTTTGCCCAGGGGCGCTCTTGAGGCTCTCTTGGGGGAAAATAGACCTTGACATATGCAAATTGTAGTTACTGGGATGTATAGTTCACCTACAATCAAAGAGCATTCTGAGCTCCATCAATGACGGAATTGAACCGAATATGGCACACAGAACTCCCATGACGAACAGAAAATATATATCATTGATTGGTTGGGGGGGGCGGGGGTATACTGTTTGCTTACCGTTGAAAATTACCTAGAGCCGCCTCTGCCCATAATCATTTGCAGTTTCTTCACTTGCATTTATCTATATAAATAAAAATGTAATGTTCATTTGTGGTATTCACAGAACTCAAAAACCACTGGACAAGTTGACACCAAATTTGGACACAGGACACTTTTGGACACAAATTTGGACACATTTGGACACAATGTATGTCCTTCACTCAAAAAATGATTTTGTCATTTGGGAGTTGCAGTTGCTGGGATTTATAGTTCACCTACAATCAAAGAGCATTCTGAACCTCACCAACGATGGATTTGAACCAAAATTGGCACACAGTCCTCCCATGACCAACAGAAAAAACTGGAAGGGTTTGGTGGCCAGTGTCCTTTGGTTTTGGAGTTGCAGCTCACCTACATCAAGAAATCACTCAAACATCTATGGATCTGGACCAAACTCTACACGAATATTCAATATGCCCAAATGTGAACACTGGTGGAGTTTGGGGAAAATAGAATCTTGACATTTGGGAGTTGTAGTTCCTGGGATTTATAGTTCACCTACAATCACAGAGCATTCTGAACTCCACCAACGATAGAATTGGGCCAAGCCTCCCACAGCAACGCGTGGCAGGGGATGGCTAGTTTTATATGTTCTAATTGGTGACAGCTGCAGGCAGACATATGAAGATCTAAAACTGATATTGTGTTCCTATTGCTGCTGATCTAGTTCTTATTTCAGAGAAAAAGCTATCTGGTTGAAAATCCTGGAGCTGGTTAAAGATTGATCACCGTGCTAGCGAGGTATTAGTCATGATGTGAACTATTTATTTATTAATTAATTATTTACTTCATTTATATACCGCTTTTCTCAGCCCTTGGGCAACTCAAAGCAGTTAACAATTTCAAAATTCAATGCTCAACATCATAAAAAGCATTTAAAAACAGTTAGAAACAATAATATAATAAACAATCAATTAAACATAACTATAACATCTCATTAGCGTCTCATAGGTAAAATCAAGATCCAATCTCATAATCCGTTGTTCCATATTCCTATATTCAATACACTGCCTATTCAAATACCTTCTCGAACAACCAGGTCTTCACTTTCCTCCGAAATGCCAACAAGGAGGGGGCTGATCTACTTTCTGTAGGAAGGGTGTTCCACAGCCAAGGGGCCACCACTGAGAAGGCCCTATCTCTCGTCCCTGCCAAACATGCTTGTGATGCAGGCGGGACTGAGAGCAGGGCTTCCCCAGGCGATCTTAACATCCTAGTGGGTTCATAGGAGGAGATGCATTCAGACAGGTAAGTTGGGCCAGAACCATTTAGGGCTTTATAAGCTAATGCCAGCACTTTGAATTGTGCCCGGTAGCAAACTGGCAGCCAGTGGAGCTGGCACAACATAGGAGTTGTATACTCCCTGAGCATCACTCCTGTCAGTATCCTGGCTGCTGAATGAATATTATAATGTAATGCAATATAATAGTACTAATAATATGATATTATAATTATATATTTATATTACATGTAATATTACTAATAATATTACAATATAATGGTATAGTACAATATAGTAATATTTAATACTGATATTGTACTATGCTAATAACATAATGTATTGTGTGCGTGTGTGTATGTATGTATATATATGTATGTGTGTGTATATATATATATATACACACACACACACATTGTAAGCCGCTCTGAGTCCCCTTCAGGGTGAGAAGGGTTGCATATAAATGTCGTAAATAAATAAATAAATAAATAAATAAATAAATAAATAAATAAATGCCAACCCTCCTTTTCTCCCTCTCAGCAATCCCGGGCAATGAAAGCCCCCACCCTCTTACCATTAGGGGGTAATGTCTGCCATTATTCACTCTTATTTTAGTGTTGGCAGTTAAGTGAGATCATTAACATGTCTCTCCTTTTTCTGGCCCTCATTTGTGGCGACATAAGGTAGGGAAAGGAATTTGCATCTCTCCAGATAGCAGAATCAAACATTATGGAAAAAAAGAGCCAAACGCTTCTCAGAAATCTCAGAAAGAGGCTGGAGGAAGGGAAAGTGTTTTCTCGGGTTCAGGGCTTTCTGTTGAGAGATGTGAATAGTTAGGTGGGGAGGGGGAATCACTTCGTGTGAAAATATCTTGGAGTCCTCGTGGACAACAAGTTAAACATGAGCCAATAATGTGATGTGGCAGCAAAAAAAGTCAATGGGATTTAGGCCTGCATCAATAGAAGTGTAGGGTCTCGATCCAGGGAAGTCATGCCACCCCTCTATTCTTCCTTGGTTAGACCACACCTGGAATATTGTGTCTAATTCTGGGCACCACAATTGAAGAGAGATACTGACAAGCTAGAACGTGTCCAGAGGAGGGCGACTAAAATGATCAAGGGTCTGGAAAACAGGCCCTATGAGGACGGCTTA